TCCCTGCTGTAGGATAGAAGGAAATACTTTTTCACTCTGGGGACAGCCAAGAACTGGAGCTGGTTGCCCAGAGAGGTTATACAATTTCCATCCTTGGAGAATTTTAAGACCTGACTGCTTAAAGCCCTGAACAACGTGGTCTGACCCCAGAGCTGACCCTGGAGCTTGGACTAGACGTCCTTCCACGGGCCCTTCCAACTTGAATTGTTGTCTGTGATTCATTGTATGAATATTTTAAAACTACCTTGAACTCCCAGCTAAATCTATTTGTGATCTATTTGTGTCCTTGAGTTCTTTTTCTTCTTAGGCTTGTTCTTTGCCTAAAATAAATTTTATTCTGCAACATATTAACTGAGAACAATAACATTCGCTCTCAACTTTTGTATAAGCGGAACAAGCCACGCGCTTCTAATTTCCTCATGTGAAATAGAGTCCCTACTCCTTTTTCATCCTAATATCCCCTCTCTGCACCTGTTCTGGTTTGAATTAATCTATCTGGCATGTAGGTGATGGCAGCACTGCAGTACTGCACAAACCCAAATACAAGGTCAACAAAGAAATATTCATATCCTGCACTAGGCACCCTTGCTACTGAGAACATTCCGCAGCACAGTACAGCCAGAGATTGAATTTTTTTTTCACAACTACACCCTGCCCATACTGACTAATCCTGTCGCTCTTTGTCATTTCCTATCTTGCTTTGTATATATAGAAATGTGTAAATGCAGACATATTATTGTGCCATAGAAATGATTAATGATGACAAATCCGACTATTAAAAAGGCTTTTCTGATATTTGCCCTAAACAATTCTCTCACTACTAATTTTCATTAATTGGATCATTTTTTTCCCTCAGAAGCTGTTAAGTGTTCTAGGCCCAGGTGTCTGATTTCAAATATTTGTACACAGAAATCTTTTCCTCTTTTAAATTACATCTATTCATCTTTTCTGGTGAGTCTTTTTTTTTTTTTCCAGCACCCTAGCTATTTGGATGTGAATGAAAAAGATTTCTTTACAACAAAACGTTTTCATATAGTTCTCAATTTTTTTTTTTAGGATCCTGTAAAAAGACCACTGAAATATTCTTTAAATCCCAGAGATCACAAGTACCTAAAAGGTGTGAGGCATAACCTTTTAAGTATATTGATCACAGAGTGCTTTATTCTCCTTGTATTACAAATGCTCTTGAGATACTAACTCTGATTCCAATTTGGTCACATGGAATTGCGGTCCTTCTGGGAAAGCGAGCTTTATTTAAGTAGTAATTAAGAAGAAGAAATTCCCAGCGATACAGCAGGTTTCCCCAGTCATAGTTTCTCTCATCTTCTGTTTCTCCACAAATTCCTCCTTTGGGAAATTGTTTAAAGCTAATCTGGAAGTGAATTCTCATAGTTTCTCAATGAGAGTGCCAGTTGTATGTTGGTAATTTGCCATGCAAGAGATAAATTGGCTTTTTTTGAGATAGCGTTCTGTTGTTCATGGCTTATGTACTGCTTTTCACATTAATTGTTTAAAGAGCAGTAAGTCATCTGTAGATTTAGTAAGTGTAAATTTGAGTTTGTGAGACTGTAATGCAGAATGCTGGGCCCTGTGTAGAGTTCATTGGCTAAATATTTATGAATATATAAGGAGCTCTTAGCTCCAATGCTTATTATTTCTATCTCCCTTCCAAGTGTAGTTGCAGAAGCCTCCTGTGTCTGGTCTTGGCACGTGAGCTTCTTAGAAAGGGAAGGCATGCGCTGATTCCAGCACCAGGATCCTGTTGATCCCTGAGAGGGAATTTTCCAGCCACAGCACTCCAGCTACTGCAGAAAACAACTCTACATTTTTTCAGCCATTGGTTACAACTTACTTTGAAACAGAAAAATGTTTACCTGTGTACTGGGTGCAGGTGTCCAGGTGGGAGTGGGAGCTGCAGGGGCGGCCTCTGTGAGGAGAGGCCGGGACTGCCCCGTGCCGGGCACAGCCGGTGCCAAGCAGAGATTCCCCTGCCACCCTGGGCAGATCCTGGTGGAGCAGGCATTTCCCTGGAGCCCCTGGAGAGACCACGGCGGAGCAGGTACCTCCTGCAGCCGACGGAGAGGACCATGCTGGAGCAGATATCCACACTGCAGCCCCGGGGGGACCCCAACCACAGCAGGCAGGCATGCCCTGAAGGAGCCCGTGGAGAGCCCGGCTGGAGCAGGTCTGTCCTGGAGGACTGCAGCCCGGGGAAGGCCCCAGGCTGGAGCAGGGAAAAGCGTGAGGAGGAAGGAGCGGCAGAGGGGGGCTGTTACGGGCTGATTGCAGCCCCCCGTTCTCCATCCCCTGCGCCACTGCGGGGAGGAGGTAGAGGAGTTGGGAGTGAAGGGGTGAAGCTGAGCCTGGGAAGAAGGTGTTTCAGGTTTTGTCTCTGTTTATCACCATCCAACTCTATTTTAATTGACAATAAATTAAATTGACTTTCCCCGTGTTGTCCCTTTTTTGCTCATGAGAGTAATTGGTAAGCGATGCCCTTGTCTTTGTCTCAACCCATGAGCTTTTTCAACTTGTTTTCTCCCCCTGTCCTGCTGAGGAAGGGGAGAGAACAGCTGGGTGGGGATCTGACAGCCAGCCAAGGTCAATCCAGCACAAACTGTTTTAGGTAAGCTTAAAAAAGTCATTGCAGCCCAGCTTTTCATCTTGATCTTCAGCAGACTTAATAATTAACTTGCAAATTATTTCCATTTCCATTTGATTAAATGACATTAGAATTTTTGCCATGAGACAAAAACAGAGACACAAACTTCACAGCATTGATTAGCTATCATGATAAAGATGAATATTGGCTCATTTTTAATATGATGATTCATTACCTGGCAAAATTAAGGCTATGCGTTATTGCTATTTCAGTTTCCATTAAGATTTATTATTATTCCAGAAGTTGTAATGTACATTTCTTTTTTTAAAAAAATATGGGATGTCCATGTCCTGTAGTTAGAATGGTACTAGAAATTCACAGGCTGCTAAATTCAGCACCACTGCTTGGAAAGTAAAGTCATTTCTGTGCACAGGGACAGCACCAGCACTCTGCAGACCTTAGAGACTCGAGAGGAAGTGCAAGGCTCTATCCCTGCCTTGTCATAATTGTGTCTGACCTCTTGCACGCCCATGTGGGAGAGCTAGAAGAAGAGTTGGCATCTTCCCTCATGTTTTGTAGAACACCCATTGGACTTCTGCTAAAGGCAAGGGACAATATATCCTTTACTTACTTTCATACACCTGAACTGAGCTACAAACAACAACAAAATAAAGACAGAAAAGGAAGAATACTTGACGTGTGTCAACATTCTTTTTCTTGTGGGAAGAAGGTTGTTCAGTTTAATCCTCATGAAACTGGGAAAAGTAACAGTAGTGGATTAAAGCCAGAGTTTAAGAAAATACATTTAAATATGGGTTTTTTACTTAAAAATGAGTTTCCTCACCATTCAAAGACCTAAGAGTTAAACTATATTGTATACACCTCAGGTACAAATTGACAAAAGATCTAATAAATCAGACTATATAAAAAGCAAGAGACTTTTTTTTTTTCCAGAAAAATGTATTTGTGTTTTAGCTGATCATATAAAAAGCATTAAAGTTTTAAAAAATGTGTATATATTTTTTCAAGTGTTAATGGTTTCACCTTTTGTTGTAACTACATTCCAAAGTCCTGTAACATCAGGGCACCATTATCCTTATCTGTGTAGCACAGTGAGCATAATCTTTACACTGAGGTCACTCTCATCACTACTTCCCCAGAGCCGTTATCTTCTGATGAATCTTCCTGAGGTCTCATGCGGTTGAACAGATGTAACAATACATAGCCACACTGAAATCTTGGTGAGGTTAACTGTGTTGGATGAACTAAACTTCTGTTTCTAAACGCAGTCAGTGGTAACCACAATGTCCTTCCTGCTGACTCTCTTCTATGTCTGTGGCTTTATCGTAATTTAACACATCCCAGTGTAGATTCACAGCCCTCCAGCGCTTAAACACTCGATAAACAGATGCACCTTCATGTACTATCAGTCCTGAAATTAAGAGAAAAAAATTAGTTTGTACAAAATGTCACTGGATACCATTTTGAGAGCAAATACAGATGTAACTGCAACATTGTAATGAATCTGGCAATTGCCAGAGCCTATTAAATTACTTGTAACTCTGACATTTCAAATAAATTGTACATATGCAATATAACTGGGTATTCATGTGTTTAAGATTGGGAGGCAGGAACACATAGAGGAAATAAAATTGTTCTGAAAGTTCAACATAACCATTACTGGAGTAATCTGAGCATGCCTAACTAAATAAAGTATTTAGGCGTAAGTAAAGCAATATAAAAGACCCTTACTGGCAGATTTGTAAATTGACTGTTTACGCTAGTGTTATCCTTGTTCATGGTAAGTACTATTTACTGAGATTTGCATCGGTTTAAGTAGATCTTTAAGTAAATTAGACCTTCCGTAATGAACAGGATGGTCTTAAGTTTGTTTAAGAGTGTTTTGCAGAATTCAGTACAAACAAATTTAACTGTTTTCACATTCTTAGTTCAACTTGGGAGCACAGAAGATTTATGAAAACCTGAAACAGCTGTAAGTATAATGACTCCTGTCTTGCTTCAGTAGAGCAAGAAGAAATTAAATGTTATTATTAACTATGATGAACATGGCAAGGATGATAGGCTTTCTTCTCTTTAAAACTCAGTAGGCAAAAGTTGAGAAACATCTTTTTTGTTGAGAACCAGGAAATCTTTTAAAAGGTCCTTCAAGAAAAATACGGAGTATCCAGAGTCCTCAACAGACCAATCTGCTTATGAGCTTCCACTTTGCTGATATCTATGCTTATTGTATGCATGCAAGCAATTTATTTACTTAAATGAAACTCTTCATTTTTCGTGTGTATGTATATATGTATACATATTTATACACACACTCTTGATATGTATTTCAAATATGGATTTACTGGGGACACACACGAGGTTTCAGCCTTCTTACTAGGTTTTTCTTCTGCTCCTCAACCAGCCTGGTAACTTACATGGTTCTGAGCAATGTCACATGTTTCCTCTGACTCCCTGCTTTGGGAGGAGAGCAATCTGCCTAGCCAAACACATTTATACATTTTTTGTCCAGTGTGTTTCTTGCCTAAAATTTTCCTGTACGTAGCCACATCTATAATATGATCTGCAGTGTCACAGGCTATAGTCCTGCATCCCAAGAGACTGTGTAACACCTGTTCCTACACAACGAAATTGTGATTTAAGTGTCTGAGGTCTCTTAGTGGTGTTAACTGATACCAGAAAGGAGACATTCAAAGAGAGATGACACAAGCAGAAAGGATGATAAAAACGTTTATATGAACAGCAAACCTCAGATTCAAGTGCAATGATTTGCAGATAGCAATGCCTACTCTAACACATTTTTAAAGAACATTGCACTGAAAGATGGAGAAACACAAAGATTGCTTTCAGAAGGACATTGTAGCAAATGTAGCATCTCTGTAAGGCTTTTCAGGTTGCCTAAAATTCTTTGAAGCATCCAATACAGCAAAACTAACACTATATAAACTTATTTAGATGCTAAATATTCTAAATGTTTTTTTGTATCAGCATAGAATTTTAGTGGAAAATTTTCTTGATTGCAAGATGTCTATCTTCATCTTCTTAGATATATATAAAGCAACCTGTCCTAAAAATTTAGCAGCCATCTTAATACATAAATGCATCTTCAAGACTGGCTATATTGTCTTAAAAAGGATAAATGTGTTTGATCACATATAAAATCTGCAAACCAAATAAGCCATCATTTTATTGCTGTGACAAAGATCCCCCCCCTTTTTTTCTTTCTGTTGGATTTCCTCTAGAATGGTAAGGGATATGAGAATCATTTTCCCTCTACCTGTCAGTGGACCATAGTATTCTTTGGCCCAATTTCCCTCAAGACTGTGATGAAGCAAAATTGAGAGAACCTATTTAACCCAATGTAAACATTTTTGATACCTGCCTGCTCTCCATTGGAACCTGAACAACATATTTCAGAACAGAGAAGGAAGCAGTTGAGAAAGGATCACTGAGGTATATGAAATACATTTAAACAGTCAAATGTATCCTCCCAAAATTATGACAGAAAAAGTCATAGGACTTCTTTTAAGGAGCTCTTTTTTACTGGTTTTGAGCTTTCAGGATTTACTGAAATTATGTTTTCAAAGTTTTCTCAACAATGGCAAGGAAGAGAAGTTTTCTTTAAAATGAAAGCTGTTATTCACATGCTCTAAAAGACCTAAGGAACCAAGAATCAAATATTGCAAAGCTTGAAATAAAGTTGTCACATTTGGCAATGCTGAAGGAGAAAAGGAGTACTTTCACAATTCCTTGCATAAAAAGCTTTAGTTCCCATCTGATAAAACTACAGACTGAAAAAGACCTATGTAGAAGAGGCAAAAGAATTCCAGTAGATCTTTTGTCTCTTTGAAAGATACTCTCCGGGGGCTGGGAGAAAAAAGTTCTCAGCACCAACTGTTCTAAGACCACAAACAAGGCAAAATCTGGGTAAGGTTTAAATGCTGGAGATTTTCCAGTTCAAAAGAATTTCTGGTGCTCAAAATATGCGTAGTTAGTCACTGAAGTGAAGCTGTAAGAAAATGACAAAGAATCTTCTTTTTCTTAAGAGTTCCACAGCAATGAATGAGGATATGAGAGAGAAAACAAGGATAAATCCATGAGTAATATTGACTTATTCCAAATACTGTGGTTTCAACAGCACAGAGGAAATAGTTGCACAGTCCTAGGGGAAAAAAAATTACTTGTTTGACCCAGATGATCCCAAGAGGAAGTGTTAGAACTGACTATTGTTAGCTCTTCCAATGTTCTGCCCAATTAATATCTACAAGGAACAGAGTTTTGGGATGATGTACCTGGAAAAATGTCCTAAAGTCTCTAAGAGGACTTTGCCTTCAGAATTTATTTGTAAGATGTAGCCATTGTAGTAGGATACAGACAATAGGAAGATCATAATTTTCTTTTCTTTTATTGCAAATACTATGAGATTCTTCCACTCTATCCAAAGGATTTCTTACCCTGAGTCACAAGAGCACTTGAAATTTTTCATACTGAATGTCTTTTTATAAAGGCAACTCCTCTTAGTTCACATGTGGTATTAGGTTCCAATGTTTTCTTAGTTACAACACTAATCTTTCTTATAATCATTTAGGAATGGTCCTCCCAGAAACATCACAAACTTTTACCAGGGAATAAAAGACCCTTTTCAGAAACAGACTTTACCACTGGACAAAATGCCATCTCTTAATCCTGCTCTAGGGTCTACAGATACAAAAAAATGCAATGAAGTGCTTAAAGCATTAAAGTGAAGCATGTCACCTCTAAAAATAGCAATAAAACTCTCTCTAAACTATTTAGAATTAGTGGAAGGCTGACTTTCTGGGTAAAGAAATACTAAGTGCAGGTAGATGCATGCATTATAACTAACTTCAGCCTGTACATTTTTACAACTGAGAGAGTTACATGAGTGTCGCTAGGCATCAAGTTCCTTGGTGGGGAAGAAAGAGCCTTTCAGAGGGCTATTCACACCTCGCATTGGCTCCCGTCTCCTACTCCCTTGCCGTTGTACTGGCACCACTCACGTTTCTAGTGCAATGTTACAGTTGCTTTTCATGCTCTAAAGGAGCTGCACTGTTGTTCTGGGATTGCAAGTGAGCTGTTATTATTTGTGAGAGTTTTTGTTCACGTTAGAACCATTTATGACTAGTAGTTATGATTATATGCTAGTGAAAATATATAAAATTATATGACCTCACTGTAGGAGAAATAATTGTGAGGTCTACAAAGCAGAATGGCAAAGGCTTGATGTATTGTCCTTCAGTGGCTAAATAAGGGTTTTATCAATTCTTTCCTTTCATATTAACTCATGAACTCATTCCCTTTGGTAATCCCTACATAGACGGTCTGATCTTAGCACTACCACTGCAGTAGCTCTGGGTTTCACAGGCAGTAGTTCTATTTGATTAAAATGTTCAAGGTTTGCCTTAGGAAAACTTCTATGATCAGCAAGTTTCAGAGAGAACAGCTTTACGCCCAGCTTAGATGCAGAAATGTACAAACTAGGGACTTGTAGGACTGAAAGTAACACTGGTAAGTAAAAAAGATGATCCTGTTAGGAAGAAATTAGAACTCTAGAAAAATGTAGAGTGGAACAGGAAAAACAATGGATACCAATAAAATATGTACACTGAAATGAATAGAACATACTATATTGGTGATCTGTAATCTTTGGGATATTTCTTTTGGTGAAACGATAATCAAGACCAAGAATTAAAATACAAGTTACATGTCATTTACTTGGTAAGAAAGTGGGTGGTGTGCTACCTATGGTATATAAATCACTCATTGGGAAAACAAATCACTATGTTCAAGTTTTCAAAGATATCATGTAAGTATGTCATTACCTTTGGGAAAACTTTTAAAAATGATGACAACAAAACATTTCAAGAAGTACAGATATTTACACTTCACAAATGACCAAAAATATTCATAGTTTATGCAAAGCTATAGGGAGCCATAACTGAAGGCAGTTGGAATAAGTCTTGGTCATACCACCAGTAACTTAAATACTTGTCTTGAAATATGTGCTGCACAGGAAAACCCATACGTCTGCATAGATTTTTCATTGAAATAAAGAGATTCCAGTTGGAGTATAGGTATTCACTCACTGTAAATCCCGTTGAAAACTAAGAGAATGCCATGGATGACTAAACACAAATGAGAGGAGAGGAGATACTAAGTGAGAACCATGGCTGGCTGTAAGCATTACAAGCTTTATGATGTAAGAGATTATATGTAATATGCAATGGTAAAATCATATGTTAATGCCTTTGGGAAGTCATCAGCATAATGGACAGTGTTGGGTTTTTTTTAAATCATTCATGAGTAATAATTACATCCAGCTATCAGAGAACTTTATTTGAATGTTTTAAATTAAAACTATCAATCAAACCCTTACTTTATGATGAAAGAAAAAGATAAAATTGAATATATTAATAAATATTTTCAAGAGTTACAAGAACTCCTGGTCTTACAACCTTACAGAATGCAGATTACTTGAAATTATATGCAGAATAAGTGGGCTGAATGAATCTGGATCATCAGAATTGTACAATTACCAAACCTCCTTTATACTGCTTTCTAAATTTCCAGATACAGTTTAGTAAACTGTTAAGTCATATCTGCACTGAACTTCGTAATTACAAAACAGTGTCCAAATATGTTTAATTATAGTCAGTTTTACATAAAAATTCCCATGTGTTATTTATGATAGGACTATACAATATGCATTTATGTAATTACAGGCAAGTCAGTTTATCTGGTGGGTGAAGACAGCTGCATGTCCACTTTGCTCCTGCACGGTGCCAGTCGGGCCAGAAGCTCCATAGCCGTGTGAGGTACCTGTTGGCTCAGCAGCTTCCAGTCCAGAGGTGGCCTGAGCCTGGCTGGCTTGAAAGGCAGCTACATAACTGCATGTGCCAATATAGTGAAGGCTCTCCTTACAATAGTTCGCTTCTACAGATAAATACAGTAATATTTCTGATCACCCACAGGTGTTCTTGACTGATTTTGAGATTAACTTGGTTTGGGTGTTTTAACAGTCGAACAAATGGGGAGAAATGGAAATAGTTTGAAATAACTGGTTATTCCAAGTAATTTTTTTACAATTGTAATCTTAGTGAAAAAAGAGAAATCTGTATAAATGAAAAGTTCAGAATGCCTGAAGCACATTTTTTCTTCACTTAGTGTTTTTTTAAACAAAAGCAAAATCTCAATATTGAGTGTTAAGCCAGAAAAAGTGGTATTCAGGAATCAGCATGTAAGAGGACATGTAGCTGAGCCCTTCTTTTCATTTAAAAGCTGAGCACTTGTCCAGAGTATTAGAGACCTAGATTCTGTTCATTTTTCTGTCTGAGAAGATTTGGTTTCACAGAAGAAACCCTGTGTTCTAAAATATTCCACAGTGGGCTTCTCTTAGAAAAATTACATAATAAACAGAACTGCTGATCCAGCTGAAATATAAATATATAAATACTCATACAGTAATGGGATGGTTTCAATAAAAGATGATATGGCTTTATGTTTGGAGCAAAAGCCTTGATATTAGGAATCACTCTGTTTCTTTGCACCTTATTGAGCAGAATTCAGCACTGTCCTTATGAATTCCCACATATGAGATTGGGATAACATCAACATTTATCACTCAGAAATCTCAAAGCAAACATCAGATAGCATTTGACTTCTGGATTTTCTTGGAATTGCAATTCTAAGAATGTGGTTTAATGTTTACTGCAATTATTAAATTTTCTCTGCAAATAACCGTAGCTATTCTAACAATCAATTCAAAGTTGTTTTATCAAATTCTAAAGGGATTTCTATTTAATATTTCTGGGTCCAGTATATTTTCAGAAATTTCAAAACTGGTCAAAATAGCTTTGCAGTAAATTGCATTTTCTTTTATAAGATTTCAGCTAGAATTAAATTACTTGAGACTTTTTAGTAGTATAGTAACCTATTATAGTTAGCACTATTAGAGTGTTTCATACCTGTTTATGATGTACAAAGAACTCATGTCTGTCTTCTCTGTTCTTTTCTATTACTAGTACAGTGACCTATATAAGTCTGTGCAACTTAATTTTGGATATGTAGTTTGATGACATTCTCAAGGATTTCTTCTGCGCTTCATGATGGTACAATCTACTGATGCCACTTTGCATCAGTAGAAGACTTGACAGCACGTGATTTGACTAATTATTTTAATAATGTTTTTGTTATTTTCATCAATTTAACTTCTTGAACTTTGCTAGCCGTCTATTTTTTTCAAGAAATTGAAACTGATCCTGTTCTCACCTCTAAGATCTTGGGGAGACACTTTAATGAATCTGAGAGTAAAGTTTCTTTTTTTTCTCTTTGCAGTATTTGTAACACTGTAAAAAGCAGTTATTTGCCAAAGGTACCAGCTGAGAATAAATCTGCAAAGACCTGGAGTGATTGATTAGAGTGACCAATTAGAAAAATAGATATAGTCACAGTCTTAAACCACAGTCTGTGCTGTTTAAAGATTTTGAGCTTACCTATGCATACTAGATCCATAAAACCATACATTCCATAGCAGATTTGAAAAAGGATGTCCTTTCTTTGCCATACTGCATAAGGGCTGAAGGCTGACCATAGAAGCCAAGTCACACTTGCTACTAAGAACAGAGATCCTAGGATTACAGCAACCATCTGCACTTTCTCAACCAGTGTTATAGTAATGCTTTGCCACTAAAAGAGAAACAAAGTTGTATTAAGATAAAAATGTTATTTTCTGTGATTGTACATTCAACTCCACTTTTTTCCTGAAATCAGAAATTATTTTAATATTTATACATATCTTCATAGATCTTTACTAATATCCTGGATACTGACATTTTATACATTTTTTTTTACCTATTTCACTTTTAGTTAAAGTGAAACTAATAGTTGCTTCCCCATCCCCTCCAGCATCACTATCATCACCATCTAGCTGTGAACTTCAGAAAAGTTAATAGTTTTATTCCTGTTTTGAATACATAGGCAAAAAAAATACTTAGTCTTAGGAATGGAACTCAGCCTTTCATATTTGTGGGCTAATGAAGAGAATTAAAAAAAGTTGGGAAGACAATCTTACATATGTTTTATGTTAGCGTGACAAGTTGAATGTAACAACTTTCCTTTCCATCCCGCCTCAATTCTGAAGCCATTTTTCACTTTCCTGCTGCTCATCAAAGAAGTTCCAGGCTATGTCCAGACATACCAAAGGAGTTGGGTTAACCAGTACTAAAATTACAGACACCTGCAGCCTAGTATGGAAGCAACCTGAAGATGCAGGAGGAGCCCTGAATGTAGATAGCATGAACATTTCTTTTCAGTGCACCTCCCTTTTGTCTGCCCTTCCAGGGAAGGCTGTATCCTCTGTATATGAGGTGACTCAGATTTATAGTGTGAAAAGACTTAAATATAAAAGAGTATGCTTACTGAATTTTGCCAAGATACAAATAAAAATAAAATTTTATTAAAACAAAGAGTCACAAAACCAAAACACAGCATAAGGGAAAAAGCATTCTAGATTGTACATGACATATATGGTCTTTCTTGGCCATAATTGTCTAAATTAGCTTGGCAGACTCCCCACTCTAGCCCCATCACCTATTACAGAGCTAGTATGCAGACTCTGTAGACTGCCATCTTTCCTGTTCCCAACTTTGAACATACCTGCCCCCTTATATGGTTGCAATAGGGAATAAATGGAGAAAGAGCTACTGAAGTAAGGGCTCTATTACCTCTTTTCCCATCTGGCAACAGTTTTTCCTTTTTACTGTTACTTTATGAAAGCTTTCTCTTTTTACCAGCATTTGGGTACCCAGTACTGTAGGATCATAGGATGCTAGAACAATTCAGGTGGCAAGGGGCTGTAGGAGGTCTCTAATTCAACTTCCTGCTCAAAACAGGGTCAGTGATGAGATCAGACTAGGTTGCTCAGGGCTTTGTTCAGTAACACGTTGAAAACCTCCAAGCATGGAGACTGTTCAGCCTCTCTGGGCAACCTGTTCCACTTTTGACTGTCCTTAGGCTGAAAAATGTTTTTGTTAAAAAATGTTTTTCTTATATCCAGTCTGATCCTCTTTTGTTCCAACTTATGCTCTCTTCCTTCCATCAAGTACCACTATGAAGAGCCTGGGTGGGCAATGAGGTCCTCCGCCCCTTTCTTCTCTTTCAGCTTTTTCCATCAACTTTTCTACTGCTGCCTAATTTGCACATCTGTTGCTGCATGTCTTCTCTTGTTGCAGCCTTCTGAATATAATAGTACAAAAAGATAGCTGTATAACAGCTATATATACAAAATACATTTGTAAATTGTCTATCTTGAAATACTATCCTTTTATAATGAACTTATTAAACTCATACTAGCTATGTCATTGAACTTCAGGGTTTGGCATGGGGCTATTCATGTCAAACAATACCGGTTTTATGGTAAAGCAAGTATGGATACTCATTTCCTTTGTTAGAATTTTTTTTTATAAGGTCAAGGAAGGTCATTAACAAGTGATGCATGACAGAATGGTGTGAGCTTCTTATGACTCAGATATTACTTGTACACAGGATTTAAATGTCAGGACTGAAATTCATAGAACTCTCTTTAGACTCTATAGGGATATGTTCAACAAAGTTATTTTTCATTTCTCAGCTGAAGCCACATAGTGTGACTTGGCAGAAAACTGTCAAAAATGCTATTGGTTATGTATCTCTTTCTATCTTCTTTCATTATCAGTGTGAGACAGACCTGTAATAAATTTGTTCAGAATGTCTCAAATCAAAGTACATTTACATGAAGTAAAGCTTCAACTGTCACAAAATATTAAACTGTCAAATTCATGGAAGAAGCTGGCAATAAATGGAAAAAACTGTTATATCACTGAAATAAACAGCAGATCTTTCACAGTGCCATTTCAGCAATGCAGAATTTCCTAAATGCACTTCAGTTTATTTAGATTTTTCTTTTTTTTTAAACCTAGATTACTCATAATTATTCTGCAAAGATAGCACTGAACAGAAGGAAAAGTAGTCCAAACATTTGGGATAAGTAATGCAGCATGGAGTCTAGATATAAAGCCCATCCCTTATTCTGATGGTGTCTGACAACCAATTTCTATTCTCATCCCCACTCTCAACCAGAATCAACTACTCCTACCATAGTTTTCCATCTCATGAGGGCTTTTGTTGGCTTACCCAAACTTTTTCTTTCTAGAAAAGCTTTAACTTGAAAAGTCCTAAGAAACATAGATATGATCCTTACCTCTTCTCAAGAACCTGAGCACCTTCTCAAGAATGTATTCTAGTTATTTTGCTAGTCTCCTGATCAGATGAATTGTCTGTCAAGAATGCAAGCAATTGAATTGCTCAACCTCAATAAATTCAGTAATTCCAAAGATTCAGCATATTAGCATGCTACCAACCAGGAAGGGGAGCCACCCCAATTACTGAGAAAATGCTCAAGCATTCCACAGGTTGTAGTTCCTAACTCCTTTGCCTTTAAAAATCAAAGAACAGTTACAAAAAAAACCCAAAAACAACAAAACAAAACAACCAAGAACCCCAAAAAGGGGTTGGATGTCTTCTATTACTCATCTACTTTGGCCTTTGTGGTATTCACTGCCTTTCTTCTACAAAAGAAACTGTAGTCCTCAACCTTCCTCAATATGGAGGTCAGCAGTAACCAAGCAGTTTAAACATTTTAGGAAAGTCACCTCCCTATTAGTGTAATCTGTAAGTTAAACTAATTGATGAGATCCCACAGTAGATAGAGGAGGAAGGACTGTATGCATAAGATGGAAGGCATTCAGGAAAGTTTTGTGCAAAACTGCTAACTTGCCTCCTAGTGCTAGGCAGTCTGCCAGAATCCAACACCGTAAGAGTGATAGGGTGGGATGGGTTGGTATTAGGCTCTAACATGTGATCGGTTTGGGGACCCTGGTCTCTGTGTATGTCCCTCCTTAGTGCTAATGGCAAGAAGACTGTGGATGTTCCTGATTACTAACTTACCTCAACTGAAATTTCCTCCTCCTTGCCCCCCTCCAATCAGTTTTCCTTCAGAACAGACTGAGATTGCCTCTTGGGAAATGAATGTCTTGATTTTTTTCCCGTGTTTTGAGTTTGGGTACAAATTATGAAAACTGAACAGATCTTACTGAGACAGGCATATTTTTCACATAATGAAGAAGGTATTCCGTTGTTATGACATTATTCACAATTAAGTAAGTTTGGAAGGTTCGGTCCTTTACTTAGCCATGGACAGTATTAGCCATTAGGCAACAAGAGGAACTACATAGGACTGCATTGTTTGGTGGCATTGCATTTCATAACAAGGCTTGTGAAGAGGAACTGGAGCTGAGGTCACACTGCTTTCTTCTACCTGGAGTCTTACAGCACAGCTAATATATGAGACTATACACTCTGACAGACACCCAGGAACAGAAGACTCCTTTTCTAAGAGTAAGATTCTTTTTATAGTATCAAAAGCCAGCTAAACTTCATTTGATTTCTCACCATCATTTACCTTATTGTATGCCCTGTTATATGTTGTTATAATCACTTCACCTTATAATGTCAAACTAATGGCTTACAATAAAGAGGTCTCAAAAATACTGCAGTCTCAAAAATACTGCAGTAAAAATAATTCAGTGATAGCTAATGTTGAGAAATTGCATTTAGAATTTAACAGACTAAAATATTTAACATTCCAAATTGAATGATCTCATTATTAGTGTGTCATAATTTAAATCCATTATTTCCATGTGTTTCTCATTTTCTTCATATAACTTGTCTCACAGCTCTTAATTGCTCATGATTATAAATTATGACTTCCTAATTTGTTTTTGTCATTTGCTGACTATACATTCCATAATCAGCAACAGTTCTTTTACCTAAGTATTTTGCCAAGTTAGGAAAGATCTATACAGCCTTTTAGTGTCAGTCTCTGTAAAGTACATGACCCTAAAAAGTAAATATTATGACAAAGATTACCATTTTTGCTTAAAAACTAGAAGTTGAAAGAAAATTTTAAACATTTTGCATCTAGATAACTATAATAATGTGAGTAATTTTTCAGACAGATTCATAAAATAATTTCTCATTTAAATATCTATGAAATAGGATCCCGTTTCATATTCCTTCCCATCATATCTATAGTGTTATGATGTACCACGCCGTTCCTGTTGGCCATGAAAAGAATGCATTTTACTTTAATATAGTATGATGAAATCTTCCACTGAAAATGGTTCCTTCATAAACAAAATACAATTTATGCTTCTGATTTTAATGTAATACTGTCCGTCCCTTGAAACCTTCCTACACTTTTACTTCTACTGACACTTCATTATGTTTGGCTCTTTTAATCTTTTATTTACCACTGGTCTTCCTTTCATGAATCATTTGGGAGTCTAGTATATTGGTACACTATAGTTCTAATGCTGACCCCAGAAACATTGCTCCTCTTTTCTTCTAAGGGCTCTGTCAAGCAGAAATACTGCATGATTTCTTATTTTTTGAGGTTAAGACTTCCAGAACTTGAAAGAAACATATCGCTTTGATGGATTAATTGTTAAAGAATAAAGTTAATACAGTTATATGCTTGTCCTTACTAACATAAAGATGGATATAATATTCAAAGATCTGTCATCTTTGAGATAAAGCGGTATTAACTTGGCTTTTTTTTAATGGTGCCTTGTAAAACCCCATTGATTATT